ATTTTTAGACGCCTTGAGCGTCAATTCCATCATATGAAAGGTATCTGCGAGCTCACGGAAGGCTGCAGCATACTCGTGTAACCCAGAACGGGTGGTGATGATGCTCCTCACTGACTGTCCCTCTCCGCGGCGATCCCATGAGCTCTATCAAAACGGTATTGAGATTGCGACTTCGTCTCATTATTATGAGAGACACAGGAGAGTTCGATCCATGGACAGTCGTACGAAGCCTGAAAGTCTTGTTGAAGGTCAGAAGACAGAAAGCGGCAAACAAGCTCTACCCTCATGGATAGTCTCTTATGTCGCACGGGCCATCACAACTGAGAGAGCGCCGTGCAATGATGTTCTTGCCACGAGAATAAGAAGACGATGCTGAGGGTGTCTGTTAAAGTTCCAGACTCTCCTAGCGAAGGGAAAGCACTTGGACAGGCGGCCGTGCCAGAAACGCCATGTTCAGCGCAAAACGGGTTGTGAGGCCTGTCTAACGCTCCTTATTGATAGGAACAGTAGTACATCGGGAGGTTCGCAAGGCCAACTCTGTTGTTCGAATACTTGACCATGTATCACAGACAGGGCTGGTGTCGGTGCAAGATGTTCTTGTCTCCCAGGTCCGTTACCGGCGATGAAAGAGTTGCTGCTGCGTGCTCTTCAATGAGATATGATGCGAGAAGCTTGTCTATGCGCCCATAAGAAGTCACAGCGCCGACATACTGAGACCGCCAACAACTGAGGTACAATGCTCACGTTCAGATGAACATTTGGACTAAAAGAAATTGAGACTTCCAGGACAGTCTCTAACTATCATACGCGTGTGATGAATCTGTTTTCCCATCGACACTTAAGAGGAGCGCTCATACAAGATTCTTGATGACTATTTTCATCTACTATTATGGTAGCATAGATTTCAGACATACCGCCAGTAAAAGAAAGAAGCCTTTTCTTCTTGCTACAGTAAATACAGAGGTAAACCACATGTGGTCTGAGCTGTATCAAACAGTATCGATTCACATCGGCTCTATGTTGTTAGAGCCGCTCTTTCTATTAATGATAGGGCTATAACCGACATGAGTGCTTAAGACGCTCTATATGCGATTCGTTGGAGTTACAGCAACCACACCCATTCTATTATTCTGCTTTTCTAAAAAGGTGCCATTGATGCAGAAGCCTATGATGGCAAAGTGTGCATCTCGTAGGAGGCCTGATTGTAGTTTCAGTAATGAGGTAGGGCCCTACAACTAACGTACACTATAAGTCATTCAAGAATGTCGTGGCGAAGACCCCTATCAGACACACTTGAACTTATAGAGCTACCCGTACGGCTGCTAACCTTCAAAATAACTAAATTTTACAGCACATATCAAACCAATAAATTCAACATATGAGAGATGTTGCTCTTGTGTAAAGGTAAGCCAAAGGAACCACAGCAATCCCGCATATGATCCTGCATCCCGGCCCTGTCTTACTGCGGGCGAGAGTCACTCTCCGTATCAATACCTTTCTTCTTCAATATCTCCCCTTCTGCATATTTCTCTACCCCTTCATGTTGTGTATGGCCCGCTCTCCTAGCTTTTAACGCCGTGTATCTCTGTTTTTATTGCCCCCTCCTATTCTCTTCTGTCGCTGCCTCCTTCTTTCTGAGCATCCAGTCTTCTCTCCAAATCTGTTTTTTGTTCCCGTATCTTATCTCCCTCAAAGGAATGTCCCGGTCTTTCTTGACATCAATTACCGAAAAGCGTTCAGATCCACACCTCTCTCCCCTTCAGCGATCCCAGAACAAGGGACTTCGCTAGTATCATAACTACAGGCATTCCTATCCTCTTGCAGGCCCTGAGATTGCGCTCTTTTGTATGTTGTGATGCGGGGTGGAAAGGAGTCGCTGGGTCCGCGCCGTGTGGGCTTTTGCTGTATCAGGGTAGATGGCGGGTCGAGGGGCGATGGGATGCGGTTCGAAAGGTGGACGAGGAGAGAGTTAGGGGGTTCATGGGAGAGTGATAGTAACTGTTGAGAGGGTGGAACGCGGTCGGTGTGGAAGATGAGATACTCACATCTCCCTGCGTTTTCGTCAGCTTCACATCCTTTCTTGTGTGCCTGAGTGCACGATTTGAGGACATACCCTCTTCCTTGCCACTTACATTTTCTTTATCGATCTCCGGTTTGGTTTTCTATCTGTCGCATGTACCTTCGTCACTACATGTCTGGCTTGCGACTGAACAGGTGCGGGGAGGTGTCTCTTCTGTCGCAGATCGATGGCATGGCACCAGGCGCGTTGATCAAAGTGAATTGCTTGATTCTAGTGCATGCCGTTAGCTGTTTGTTCATGCAGTTTTGTTTTGTCCATACTTCCGCATGCTTGCTCAGACATGCAGTGACATTAGTCAGCTCGTTGCAATCGTTTCCTCCATTTGTCTGTGCTGTGCTGCTGGCGGGAATTTCTCTGATTCATTCTGACAAACAATGTTTATTTGGTTGCCGTATGCTGTCTGATGGATCGCCAGCATTGTATTGCTTGCGCTTCAATCAAGAAGTAATCGCAGGGCAGGCTCGGAGTCATGAGCTGCTTTCGTGGTATCGGAGTATGCCTACGGATGTTTTCCCCAAGCTTCTATCAAATTTCGCGGCCTGAAGTGTCTCTTGGTATACCGGCATTACTATGGACACAGACATTAGCCAGAAGGGCGCATCTTAGTAATGTTGCAATTAGCTTCACGATAGCATGCATCAGTCAGAAGGCTGCGTTACAATGGTTCTTGTCTGTTTCTGCTTCTTCTTTATCGAATGAAGAAGAGAGCAGAGGCTCTTGTGTAGCAGTGGAGCGGATACGCGCATGTACTGGCTGACTTCCAGAATTCCAGGTTGAGACACTTGGGTGTCCTGTGTTTGATCAGTACTCACCTTTGGTTAGCAGCCATATTTGATGCAGTCAGAAATCCTTCTGAGACTGTGCTCTGCCTCTGAATGTGTGATATTTTGAATTCTGTCTGTATCGAAAGCGGACTGGTGAGGGTTTGGTGCCAGGTCTTGGCACAGCTTGCTGCGGTAAAAACAGTGCTCCATTCCAACGCTGCAATCAGACAAACTAATGTAGAGTCCGAAACTCCTTTTGTTGAGGTTTCTGAGATTATCTAGGATATACTCTTCTGGTGTTTCATCAACCTTGCGGGTTTCCAGGTCAGCTACATCTTCACTCCCTTTCTATTTACTGACTGTTCCGGTACCCCTATTAGCAGCATAACCCTTATTAACGTCTTCTGCTTATTTCTGATTATCTAGACACAGAAATCTCGCAGAGCGACCCGAATGTCGATCGTAACCCCCTTCGCAAGTGCGCGCTCCTTAACCGACTTCGACGCTGGTGACGGATAACATGAGAGATACCGGGCGGTATACCCACACATGCTTTCCACAAACAATACAACGCAAGGATTTGGGACTTTCGTGTTCCAAAGAAGCAGGTATATATAGTGGAAAAGAACGTTCAGTCTGAGGCTGAAGCTTCATGCCACGACGCCGTCAACCCACATGGTTGGCGCCACTCTCGGGACAAGTGTTCGAGTAGATGCAGGACGGCCGCCATAATTACAAAGATCATGATAGAAATAATGGAGCTTTTGGTTAGCATAAACAGGTCACTGTCTCAACCCCTGTGCCAAAGAGAGATACCGGGATGGGCATAGGGTTATCGACAGCGCATCCCAGTATGACCGTAAGCTTGTTTTCTTTTCAGCGAGCGGGCTTGGGTATAGATCAAGTCTAAGAGCCATAACTCTTAAGCGCACAGTGTAAACTGTTGTAATGTCTACATCTCGTGCCAACGCCATCCGTGTCTATCTATACTATATTCACTCTTCTGTTGCAAAATTTGGCTAAGCTCTCAGCGCACTTGTTTGTCAGAACGCACGCACACTCACGCAAATTTTCAGTCACTACAAATCACAGCACTGAAAAATAGAGCAGAAAACACAGCATTATTGATATATGTATGAATGTACCCAAACTTTTCTAGAAGGTCACCACAGAGGGGCTTGTCGCCTGCTTTTCGAGATGGGATATTGATCTAGGCCACTGTACTTGGAAACGATAGTAATTGAAATACCACATCTCTGCTTAATCAGACGGCCAAACACAGAGTACAAAGACTTTTGTCAGGATCTCGTACAGATCCTACCTGGTGTCTCTCATCAAGTGTGACTGATAAGCGTCGTTGCTGTGTGGCAGCTGTTGTGATTGGGAGTTGGCTGAGGAAACCTGTAGTGCGTTACTAACTGAAAGGACAAAAATGAAAGCGAGTAAACATAGCAGATGAGTGAGTAGCTCTCATTCAAAATGCTCTCAGAGTATGTCCTGTTATCTTCATTTGAAGTCTGTGTTGAAAACTACAAATTTTTCCATTCATCACAGAGCGTTTGTTGATAGGCTGCTCCAAGGTGTAAGCAGTAAGGGGAGTAAAGGATAACTCAACTTGATGTTACCATGGAGTGTATTGGCTATTATTCTGGTGATGTTTCTCAATCAAAAGCCGATTTTGTGTGTCTCTTGGACAGCTGGCAAACCTGCAGTGTATCAGTGATGTACAGAAGAAGCGCTTAGTATATCTGTGAGTCAATGGGCTGTCCTCAGTTGTGTGCTCGTGCTACAAACGTATCGTTATCATGGAGAATTCAACAACTACAACTGTCGTAAAGACAATCATCATTAGACGTGGTATTGGTGTGGGACGGAGATAGTAAGGGGGTAAACTCAGCTTGGTATGGGGGACAGAAGGGGATGGCTTGCCATTGTTGAGATTCCCAGAGGGTTGGATTTGAGTGTCAGAGAGTTCGTAGGAAGTGAGTGAGGGGGATTTTATAGTGAGCAGTCAGACAGCGACTTGGAAAGTGGGGCATTGGATGGTGGTCGCCGGCTCTGGAGCAAACGCAACTTGCGCACTGGTGCCATATACCCTTGAAATTGGCACCAAACAATACATCAGACACACAACTTCTATCACAAATTCTATAAAAATGCCTACAAACCGTCAGAATATCCGAGGAACAGGCCGTCCTGTTGGCCGTCAAGCTCGTCGAGGCAACTTACAACCAACACGGGCTGCTCCACCTCCACCTACTAGAAACCCTCCCCCTCCACCGAGTGATACCCCCTCTTCACCTCAACCCGATTTCCCTCTGCCGCCTCTTCGCATCACACCAATGGGATTGGCAAGAGAAATCCAGGAAGACGTCGATAGAATCTGGTCCAGCCTCTGCCAGAGGGCATCCTTCATCACTTCCCTGATGCAGGCTTCCGATTCGGAACTTGCCACCGTCAGCCGGCATTTTCAGGCTTACATTTTCGAGTTTCATATATATCTGCGAGCATGTAGTGACTTGAAAGTCGCTGAGGAGCGGGAACGAAACTTTTACCAGTGGTGGAGTACCTTGAGTCCTGTAAGTCTATCCGCGACTTAACTTGGAGACAAAACAACTTAAGCTTACTGACTGCCACTGAAGACTGAGCAACAGGAGCGCCTGTATCTGGCCCAAGACATGGCTCCAAGGCGATGGCCAGCAAAGGCTTGGTTGTAAACCAAAGGCGATGGCAAAGATGACAACGATTGGGCTCCAGCGACGCACATCATTGGAGTCATTCTCAGGTACGTCTAGCCTCTTGCTATCTACCTCGCCATCCTCACCTCTACCGCGACTTTCTTGCTCCATCCTCGTGCTTCTCCCATAAGCACAGTGGCACGCAGAGTCGCAAGAGCAAACACGTTCTTTTCTATCCTACGGTTTGGAATCTGCTTTCATACTTCTTGAGTGCGGAGTCCAAGCGTACGGGCAGAGAACAACATCGCTTTTAACTGTACTGCAGTGGTCGAGATTATTACCGTGTAGTAAAGACAAAGCGATGACATTTTTGCCATTGCTCTCAAGTTGATACGTGGGTACAAGAAAGCTAACGACGTACATCCAGTTAAACCCTCTTTACTGCCGCCGCATCATCCAGAAGCCCCGAGCAACCCCCAACTACCCGACCGAATCTTCCACTATATACCCCCTTTATCGATACACACCCCGCCCGCTTAGACCTTTTTCTAAGCCACCTCCACCCCGAATGTCGGATCTTCTCCATGGGCCAGAATGCCCCACCGTTGTCAGTTGGCAAGCAGGACAAAGGAGAAGAAGTGGCCACTGAGAGAAGATGGGCTTTAAATTCTGATTTTTTGTTTCTTACTTATGACCGCCTAATAAAATATCTTCTGCGTTGGCCCAATGCAAGATGGCAAAGTGATTCAAACTACTTCTGCACCTACAGGGGATATCACTGTGAAGGCAATGTACTGAACAACGTCGTACACTGCTTCGCCCATATACAAACATACAACTTCATGCCCAATCATCCTTTTCCAACCAATCCGCAGCACTGTCAATGGCCTTGGTAACGATGCTAACCCAACGTTTGGTAGCCGCCTCGTCACCCTCTCCGATAGCTTCTACTATACCAGGAAAGGTCGCACCCGAGTAGCCAGTCCACTTACCCGGCGCAAAGACCACATGCTTAAACCAGCTTCGTCCGTCAAGTCCCTCAGGAAACAAGAATTTCCGTTCCAGGAATTTGTACTTATTGTTGACTGCGCGAATAGCGACGAAGAGTTGGAGCTTCTTCCAAGGTTGCCACCAGGGGATATGGTCGATGAGGGAATACTGAAGTTCGAGATCGGCAGCTCTTTGGTCGTGAGCTGCAGAGGCTTCGAGAAAATGGGATACCGCGTCATCGAGAGGTTGCCAGCTTGCGAATGAACTCTTGTCCGGAGAAGCCGCTTGTGCTGTACGTTTGGCGGCTTGGACGTACTTGCTTAGCCCGAGGGCGTAATCTGTAGCATTCAACTGAAGGACGGGCGAGTCCACGAGCTTGGCAGCTACGAGTGCCCAGATCTTTGATATGGTGGCGTGATACTCAAAACTAGGATCACCGTACTTTTCCATCCAATCGAAAGAGTCGTAGTTGCTGTGGTAGTGGTAGACTGCAGACTTGGCGTCAAAGCCAAAGGCCATGTCAATCGATGGGATACCAGCAAAGTCTTGAAAGGCCGTGAAGTCGCTGCCGGATCCCATTGTCTCGATCTTCTTGTCCCATACGTTGTATACTGACTGGCCAGGTACGGTCTGGTTAGGAGAGGCAACCTTCTGAACTAGGTCAAATTAGCCATGTCCAATCAACAGAGCATCAATGTATACTTACTGGCTTCCTCAACTACCCTGCTCAACAGCGGTGCAGCCGCAAGCGTGAAGTCTGGTCCATTTGTGCCAACGTCGACATTAAGGTATGCGACAGCTGAGGCAGAAAGCCAGGGCAGGTATTCCTCCACCCATTCCGTACTTCCAACCAAGCCGTACTCTTCGCCATCCCAGCTCGCGAACACGATGGTTCTCCATGGCTTCCAGCCAGCTTCCATCGCAGCACTGAAGCTTCGGATCACTTCATTCAGAGCTGCAGAGCCGCTATTAGGGTCCCCTGCGCCTCCAGCAATCCACGCATCCCGATGATTTCCCAAGACAATGACTTCATCGCTGATCGTGCCGTTGATAACTCCAATCACGTTCCATAGCGGTGTTGTAACGTACTCCTGTTCGTTTACGAGATTCAGGACAACGTCATCTGGAGACGGTCCAATATTGTACTCCACACCCTTGTAGTCCAAGCCACCACCGTGCCAATTTTCGTTGAAAGACGATGCTTTCGGTCCATGCCCATTGAGAGCTTTAAGGAGAGGGAGGGCGTCGAGGTAGGAGATAGGCAGAGATGGAATACGCGGCATAGCATGATCGACAGGCTGGCGGGGACAACCAGGCTTTGAAGGGTAGCCAGGGGTAGTTGGGTCACCTGGAGCGAAACCTGAAGGGGCCACAGCATTAGCAAAGCACTGGAAGAAGAAGAATACTCGACTCACTCAAGAACTGGACGCTTCCTCGCTGGACACTGCTAGGCTCCCTGGCTGGACCGTCTGGATAACATGCGATACCGTTCTTCTCGGTGACCTCACCATCGTCGCCAGGATCGCTGTACATGACCACGCCAACCATACCCAGCTCTTGGGCACGCTTGACCTTCAGGCCGCGGAAGACACCGCCGTACTTTGCCAACGCAATCTTGCCTTCCAGACTAACGTTTGCTGCCCTGAGTTCCTCAAAGTCCTTGTATGTGCCATAGTTGACAAATACATATGGAGCCGTGACATTTCCTGAAGCGCTGTATCCGTGGAAGGTGGGTACCCGGTCTGCAAGTTGGCTTGACTTGTCCTCGTCTAGGACATGTTCTTCCAGCCGCGCTTCGTACGTGACCTTCCATGCATTCTCTGAACTAGTGGAAATATACTTTTTCTCGTGCTCGGTTCCAATCTTTTCCATTAGAGCCAATCGGTGACCTTTTGGATAGTTAATGTACACTTCGTAGTCGACGATGGTGCTAGCAACTCCCCACTCCTCCCATCGTTCTCTTGTCCATAGTGCCTGACTAAAGTTCTTTCCGGCGAGATGCGGCCCGCTGGTATAGTACCTGCTCCAGTATTTCGCCTTCTCTGCGCTTGGTGTTTCAAGCAGAGTCTTTTGTAGGTCGTCAAAGTCTAGTGCCGTCTTGCGTGCCCATCCTTCAGGGACTTGTGAAGCCGACGAGGACAGGAATGCCGATACTCGTGATACAGAAGCTTCGTTGTCTTGTGTAGGAGGCGCAATGGCGAAAAAGAAGATAGCAGCAAGTCCACCAGCGATTATGGTTGCGCTCAGGAAGGTAGTGCAGAAGAATCGAAGGCGATGGTGCGGGTAACGGTCGCGATGGGGGCGCACATCGACGCGTTGAATCAATGGACTTCTTTCGTCGGCCATGGCTGTTAGTTTTTCATTGCTCGCCAGGAGCTTCGTATACAAGAAATGATGAGTTTTCCACACCTAACCAGAGGTTTTGGAGATGATAAGGCCTACTCCACTCAGCAAGCTATCGCGCTGTTTCGGCTCTAATGGCGTCACCTGCCTGAACATCTTATCCGCTCGTATCTTAGCGCGCATCTTCTGTCAGGGGTGCAAAGAGCCACGGCATCGTCATACTTACTGAAGTGCAGATAACCACAACAGAATGCAGACATATCTCATTTATGCTGTGTGCTCATTTCATCGTCTGCATCAGATGAAGCTGGTCGCTCTGATGGTGCCATTCCAATGAGCAGGGATGAGTGCCGGCATTTGCACACAGCAATTCAGAAGCAGCCAGTCGTAGCACGAACACAACTGCTCACAGTGAAGTCGATAGCAATTGTCCAAGTGAATTTTCAGAGTGCTCTGATGATTCTATTCAGGCCTTCTATTTGTTGTTCTTTCCTTGGCTGCATCTCAGCCATCTGATTGGATTACACAAGGCCATTCTCAGCACATGCAACACTGTTTTCTTTAACTTGGAATCCCCAAAATCACTTCCAAAAACTCGACCTATTTAAAAGATTGGGCGATTTTAATATCTGACTTCCACCACCTCCTCGAGATGTTTGGTAAGATCCTCGTATTCAAACCCTTATTTGCCTCATGACTCGATTGACAGTAACTCCTACAGACTTCGACTTTGGTAATACGAGCCACTTTCACTATACCTCCACAACTGATGAGTATTACCGAAGACCAATGCGAACCACACAATTCCAAGCGTGAGCGTACAGTGCTAGATGCAGCTTTGAAAAAAAATTACAAGTACATGCAATGGGTGTGGTAGAATGGGAAGTAAATTATCAAGAATCAAGTGGCACTGTTGACATGGAGATATTTAGAGCGCTTTACATTGCCCAATACGGGTTCTGCCGAATCAGGAAATATGGAACTCCTAGGTATTCTCTGGAGTGCTTCATGGGCAGCACATATCAGTTTGAGACGAGGCAGGCGTCGAATCAAGCCGTATTTACGACACTGGAAGAACAAATAGGCGTGCCATGCACACAGAGGAGTTGGGGCTCGCATGGCTCCTGATTTTCTCAAAGTGTCTAATCTTAATCTTTCATGCTCACTGGCCCTTCACTGGGCCAAAGGGTGAGTGCAAAAAGCGTTTGCAAGTGCTAGTCAGACGTGCTGTTTACCCTTCACATCCGCTTCTACCTCCATCTCCACCATTACAAAAGGCAAAAAGCACATCAACAAGACTACCCCCCACAAAAACACCCTCTACAACTATGAAGTCCACAAAGACACCTCAATCTACGCCACCATCGGGAGCTACACCAGCTGCAAAAGCGCCTCCACGCGCTGCAGCTCCCATCTACACCATGAGCCGGGCCGACACGCGCCGCAAGCAGCAGCTCTGCAAGAAACTCGACGACATCTGCGTCGAGGTGATCTCCAGATCCACGGCTTTTTCCGAAGCTACTGCCAAGCTCTACCATATGTGCCTCCAAAGGAAGTACATGCCCTACGTGGACCATGATTCCGAAGTCAACTTGGCGCTGCTCACCATCACTTGCGAGCACAAGCGTCAGCAGCTAGATGAGGTCGTCAAGACCCAGCTTGAGGTGGCAAGGCGGGCACGCCTGCTCCGCGAGGCCGAGGCCGAGGAGAAGAGGCTTGATGCCGCGTTCTGGAAGCTCGTCAACAAGTACAAGAAGGGTTGAGGCGAGGGTTGGATTCTGCTTCACGGATACCATGTGTCTTCTTTTCTTCTTTCTTGTTCTCTATTTGGAGATAACTTGCCTTTGGTAGAGTGTTTGGCTTGGCGCCTTGAACACATGTATCAAGGGGCATATGGGTAGGACAGTGGTGTTTTCTCACTCTCCTCAAACGAGCATGAACAGAAATGCCGTCACGCTGCGAGCTCGGCAGCGTTACCAGAACGAGCCTCAACTATCCAACCCAGACTTCTCATTACTCAATGTGCCAAGAAAATATTCATGCTGTAGTGATGTTGTCTTCAATCCTTTCACTGGTGTCAAAGTGCCATCTTCAATAGCCATAGCAAAAAAAAGGGGGTCAGCAATACCCCAAGTTCTTCTTCACAAAAATGCACAAAAATATAGTCCACAATCACAATCACAATCACGCAAAAGAATGTTGGTGGTGAGAAAAAGGTATATGTTCAGAGCGCTATGCTACAAAAAGGGGGCATGTACTATACACAAAAGAATCGAAGGCAATCGTCGTATCCAACGAACGAACGAACCTCCAAAAAAGAGGAATCCATCACGTTTATCTCATCGCCGAGATGAACGGTAAGCCATCAAGAAAGAAAAAAAGCACTTTACAAGAAAGCGCGAGCGTGGCGGCGGGCCTTGCTAGCAGAGCTGCTGGCCTTGCCCTCGAGCCAGGTGATGAAGGTGTCGAGGGTGAAGGTCTCGGGGAGGTTACCGCTTGAAGGAGCAGCGGAAGGAGTGGGCTCCTGGGCTTCGGGAGTAACAGAAGCAGCAGGAGCAGATGCGCTTGGTGAGGGAGCAGAAGTGCTTGGTGAGGGAGAAGAAGGTGCGCTGGAGGGGGTGGATGAGGGGGCAGGGGTGGAGCCAGAGCCAGAGCCGGAGCCGGAGCCAGCGGCCATGGCGGGAGGGCCAGGGACGACGTAGCTGTTCAAATTGCCTTGGTAGACGTCAAACTTGATGCCGGGGTCGGTGGGAGTGTAGAGCTTGGTGCCAACAACACCATCGGGCTTCTCGGTACCGCTGCCGGTAACCTCAATGTTGACGCACTGGGGATAGTTCTGGGCACCGTTCTCCTGGGCAGCGGCGTGGAGCGCAATGATTTCGTGGCGGAAGACGTACTTGCTAGGGGCAAGGTTCTCGGGGATAGTCATGGACCAGGTGTTGTTGTTGGCAATCAGCTTGTTGGCAGCCCACTCGCCGTTCTCGTAACCAGCACCCTCAATCTTAAACCACTTGAGATCCTCCTTCTTGACGGCCTGGAGGTCGCCGGTGTAGGCAGCAGCGTAAGTGAGAACGGGGCCAACGTGGGATGTGGGCCAGGTGCTCCAGTGGAAGTCGATTTTGCCACCAGCGGGGATTGAGCCCATGGTATCCGAGCTACCCTTGGGGCTACCGGCCTTGTGGCAGATGATGTCGCCAGTGCCGTAACTGGATGGGTCTACGAAGCCGTTGTCGAGATTCTCAGCATACCAGCCAAGGTGCTCAGGGACCTTGGCGCCTTGCTGCATGGCATAGTAGTATTCGATAAGGTAGCCCTGCTTGAAGACGCCATTGAGGCTGACACCGGTGAGGGAGCCGTGGGCACTGGCGGTAGCAGCAAGAGCCGCGATGGCAGTGATGGTGGAGGCGAGAGACTTGTACATTGTGATAGATTGAGATGATCTGGGGAAGGTTGAAGTTGTTGGATGGGAATGAATGTTGGATGGGGGGATGAAAGAATGTCTGCCGGCTTCACACAGTGAACGGACTTGAAGAACGAATGTGCAGGAAAGAAGGGACGGGTATAGAAACCAACAAATTGAAGCTGTAGCGATGAAGGTACCTAGCCATGGGGTACCTCAGGGCTCTATTTATCCAGTTGAAGACCTGGTGCTCGGCGGCCTGGAGGCCATGGCATGGCATGGGTGACTCGTGGAAGAATGCCCGGCAGAACGGCACCAGGCCAAAACGACTAAACAGAGCCTCCACCTGATATTGTTTTGATCGTCATATTTCCACTTTGAGCCTGACAAGCGACATTGGCAGGATGCACCGGACTCCACGCGCAAGCGGCAAGACGCAGCGGTGGAACGGCAACGCATGGATATGCCATGATATGCTGCAGATGATATGATTAACATGCATAGGGATGGATTGGGAGGCCCGGAGAATTGGTAGTTCTCGTCTCAAGCGAGCGGGTCTAACCTGGCGGCATGAAGCTGGGTAGCCACAATGTAGCCAGTGTTGTGCCCGTGCATATGGGCGTCAGCCAAGCGCTTGTTTGCTGGTGCCAAAGAAGATGCCGAGTAGGGAGGAATTGATCGTGGCGTCTGTCGGTGGCGCTACTGATGGGCCTGGCATCCTGACATCGATGAACGGGAGGCTTGGTGTTCATGCATTCGCCGGAACGTTCCGCCAGGTCTGTCGCAGGAGGTGAGATTACTACGTCCTACTATCCAAACCTTGTCTTTGGTTTTACCACTGGACTACGCGCTGCAAACATACGCGTTATCATCAATCCAAAACCTAGGTGCAAGTAAGTAGTCGCCCATTGTGTATACTTGATAGAAGCGCCTCGAACAGAGCGCGCGCGCAACGGCCATGCACCCCTGACAACGAACACAATCCTGTTGCCCCACAGCTGTGCCGCTCTGTTCCTGACCTCGCTTGCCAACAGCTAAGTGTTGTTTCAAACATGAAACAGTGGATTTTTTTTGGCCCAATACTAGTGCTCCGGCGACAACTTCTCTGTTAAGAATCGCCCGCATACAGCTGACCAGTCGAAACATCGTCGGTGAGATTGGAGTTGGACTCGGTGCCGTGGATTCGGTCAGTGGTTGCACTCTCGAATCCCAGACAGCGTCGCCGGTGCTGCGCCGTCATTGTTCATGCATTGCTTGTTCTTGATCTCTTTAGCCGGCTTTCAGCCGTTGAGGCGCCGTTTGTAGATGTTTCCAATATAGTCTTCGAAACGGGCGGGAGTTGAGTATGCCAGGAACCAGTCATCTCCCCCCCACCTACCAGGACCGAATGTAGCAACTTTGACGGGAAACGGAGACGCATGCCTAGAGCTTTGCTTTACACTGCAGCTTCCTCCAAGCCCAACAGTGATGAATCACATGCTGACTTCTCTTGGTACCCTCTTCATCCTGTCGCCACAAGGAATGCCAGGTTCCCGTTCCTTGTGTCATGACACCGTGCCAGAGAGAAGACAAAGTTGACATAGCGAGCTGTTAGATTTGAAGACGCATGTGCAAGGGCGGCTGCCTTGCACAAATTACCATTCCCACAAACACACATGGGCTGCATGCACAGCGGACGCAATATTGGAGTATCCTTACCATTAACACAGGAACACTACTTGTTCGGCATAATGTTTCTGATAAACAAGTAGGCATCTTCGCAGTACGTATGCTGAACGTAGGCAGAGAGAGAGCGGGAGAAACAAGGACAGGCCATTGAGGGAATTTCGCTGGTTCAGATTTGCGGACGACCATTTCGCCGCTTTCATTGACTTGCAGTCTACTCTACTCTAGACATGCTTGGATGCCGCCGACCATTAGCACAGCGATTCCCAGTATCCATTGCGCAACTCCAAATGCACCCTGCACGTCTTCCTTCATAATCGCCCACAGAACGGCAAACACTGCACTACTCAGGCCACAAATACCCACTATAAACGCCCAAACACGCTGGGCCAGGAATCCTTCCACAAGATGAACACCCCACCCCATGCCGAACTCTAGCCGCTGACGCCGCTTGGGACTACGTAGATACGTTACCAGCTCGCCGTCATAGTCGTTTGGATGCTTAAAAAGATGAAGGAGGTAGGTGCTGCCGACAGGAGGCAGAAGGTCGTTGGGCTCAAACGTATATGGATGCTGAGATGCTCCCTGAGATTTCTCTGAGCTACCAGCTGTAGACACTGAAGACGTCGCAGATTTTGGAGGCATAGATGGCGCCGCACGAATATCAGCAAATCGATTACGATGAACTTCGAATTGTACAAATTCGATAGTCGTTAGTCCACGCAATCGTGTCCAGTTATACCATCGGCGATGTAGCTGGTCGTAGTGCTCTCGTAGCGAGAGTGCCAGGTCTTTATCGCTTCTTATTCGGCCTTCGTTGACGTCGAGATGCACAATCTTTGGCGTAAGACGCCCCTCGTTTGCGCAGGTGAGAAGCCACGATTCCTCGGCATAATTAGGCATGCGAACACTGAATGCGCTATCGGCTCGCACACGGGACGGGTTGTACTTTGATGCATCGCTGCCTCTAGACCATGGAGCAGATCCACCATAGGTAGACGATGGCGTTGCCAGAGTTGAAGCTCGACTAGAAGAGTCGAAGAGAGAGGACACGGATGATACTGTACTGCTCTGGCTGGCAGGGCTTTGATAGGTGTGCACTCTCGGACGGTTCAAGTAGGCTTCCAGGAGTCGGGCTGCATTCGGTCGTTGCTCAATAAAGTCATCGTAAAGTGACTCTCCACAGGACTGCAGACAATCAGTATAGCTAAGCACAGTTAGGAGATTGACACGTACACAAGTCCATCGAACGCGAACATGACCTCTCGGAACGGGCCTCTCAGGACCGACAACGTCTCGAAGCAGTTTGAATCCTTCGTATACTTTGTCCGACAACGCGCCAAATGCGAGGGCCCAGTACATCAACGCTGGGTTGTGCACTCCACTAGGTGCTGATCTGATCTCGGTTTCCGAAGGCAACAAAATATCGCCAATACAATTTTCGTCTAGCAACTCTACAGGGCCGTGCACAGTAGTAGGGTCTTGCGTATCCCCAATGCTTTGATCGCCATTGCCTGGGTCCGAAACAACATTACCCAAAGCCCTCAAAGCCTCTCTGAGCACTTCCGAATGGCTCGCTTCTTGTGAGTCAGGTGAGGATGCTAAATCATCATACATCTCCCCCGGTGAATTTGACGAGGATTTGTGTTTTCGCACCTTCGGTGGCCCTTTCCGCTGAGTCACTGGGGATACATGGGCAGATCTTGTTTTGGGAACGTTGGTTTGTAACCGCAATCCATACTTGGATTTTTTGGGTACTTGGAGATCGTCTGCGGATGAATGACGGGCGTTTCGAGATTTCATCCTCCCGGTATGTCGTACTGAATTTTGCCATGCCCCGTGGTCTTGCAAATTTCGGTCAGAGTCCTTGGACTTGCGAGGTGACAGACGTTGGCATTGCCGCACGTTAGCCGAGCTCGTGCCAAATTCATCATACCAATCTTCGGTTTCAATGGTTGTTGAATTGGAGGGAATCTTGGTCGATTTGTGAGCGTCCGACCGTTTAAGGTTAATGTTTGCGGTTCGGCAGTTTACACGGGGACGAGTCTTCTTCTCAACCCTTTTCCTGACTGGCCCGATGAGTGATAGGCCCCGGGTAGGTGTTTTCACAATGCTGGATACTGAACCTGATCGGGTTGGAATCAAGGACTCGCCATAGGTCTGTTGTCCATCCACGTGCCGATCCATTGGGCGAAGATCAGAAATGAGGGTTTCCGCATCGCTCATTCCTTCTTCAGTGGTTGAATGTTGTACCAGACGACTCCCTTCCGCTTGCCTCGCATGTGATTCACCGCTTGAATCAGTTCCAAGAGCAATGGAATCTTGCGGATGCCTGATGCCATCTTCGTTTGAAGTACCGATTTCGAACACATCGGGTCGATCGGCAGGACTTATAATATTTGCCGGCGCAGATGACGGTACAGAGTGAAGTTCAGCTGGCAGCAGTGCGGAGTCAAGCTCGGAGATGTTTGCCCGGGATGTGGTGGCGTCTGAACCCAAGTCTACTTCAGCAATCTCATCCGAGTCTGTGGCGGATCCCTTTAAGAGCCGAACTACATAGCCCTTTCCTTTCTTTTTGATCTTGGCTTTGATTTCGGCTAGACGCTTTGTCTGTGTAGACAGTGTCGAATCACTCCGAGAAAATGATACATTCCAATCTGGCACAACTTTATTGAGAAATTCAGGGGGCACGTGGTCTAGATCGGCCCAGCCTTGCTTCTCCGAAAGTGGTGTCGTAGGTGGACTCGATGTATCTTGTCTAGAATTTGTGGTATTCTTGGTAGCGCTATTGACCGTGTTTAAAGGGTTGAACAATGCATTCAAGGGCAATCCATCTGGTGGTTGAAGCTTTGCACCAATGTCCAAGACAAGCTGAAAGCGGCCTGGATTTTGGGCATCTTCCTGGAGTTTCAAAGTAAATGGCACCGACTGCGTCTTTTCATACCGCGGAAGAGGAGTATCGCGCCCTGTGTCGATAACCTCGCGCTGATTGGTCGTTTGTGGAGACTGATTGAAGCGTAGTGGGACCGGAGAGGCTATTGTGGAAGCCTGGCGCAATGCGCTGTCAGCCGTTAAACGTTCTGGCATAGACTGATGTTTTCCAGCCTTGCAACGGTAACGAAAAGCCCTTCTATCAGAGCGCAGTCGAGAAGTGGACTTACCATGTTGGCATAGCGTTCCCAGCGGAAAGCAGGAACAAAAACCTGAGAGGCGTAGAGAAGGGCGAGGCATGCACATTTTTGACCGGTGAGCACTGCAAGCGAGTGGATGGTGAGAAGGCCACAGGCAGCTGCTGCGGCCGTTCGTGCACTGCCACCACCTCCTGCAGTGTGACGGACAAGGCTGCTGTGTTGCAAGGCTGATTGGAGATTCCCACAAGACAGGAGCCTGTTGAATACAGGACACCTTCCGCATCAAAACTTCTCGTGCTCTTGAAAATGTCCAGCTTTGCTGGATCCGCCATTGTACAGGCCTTGCAAACTTGGCACATGAGCGAGTTCCTTGTTACTAGTACGCGACCCCATTTTGCCGTGGCCGGCTGAATTGCGAAGACCGAAAAGTCGTGGACAAGGTAGGAGTGCTCATGGCGATATCAAATTGGATATGAGATAGGACGGGTCAGAGGCAGAGACTATGCGCAAATAACGGTACTGCGAAAAGAACGGGAAGAGATTGGGTTACTATGCTTCGTGACTGCCAGAATGGTGGACAGGCAGTCGTGTCGCTCCTTCCCGCCCTCGCTCACGCAACAACACCAACACCACGCGCCGTGCTCCAAACCTTATTGCCTTGATGTAACCTTCTTTTCACGACCTCCTCGGCATAATAAACTCAGTTAATCCAGGCACCAAGGACTTGGCTATACTGAGTCTGCAATTGCCTGATCATGTGCGCTTAGTTGTCTGCTCGCCTAGTCCGTAGACGGCTTCTCTTCCGCACCTCGGCATGCTTCCGACATGGCTATTCACGCAGTTCAGCACAGAATCTGACATGGCTCGGTCTATAGACCACCGGCTTCCCCGCAATAACTGACGATCCCTTCTGTCCACTATTTCTCCGTCGTGCGGTCTCGAGATTCCCCGCCATTGGGAAACGTGGGATGGACGCGAGTCAAGGGAATGCATCATGTATCCTAGGGTGATCATGACGTTAATGGACCTGTTCCGTACATTCGGCCTGTTCAAGCGCCAGGAATATAGCCCAACGCGGACGTTTCCACCAAGGACCGCCGTTATTGTTGTGAAAAGTAAGCATTGGCGATACTTTATATAGCATTGTCTGTTCCTGCTCGTTTTCTGGTCATCTTGCAACAGCTCAAGCCGTCAAGATGCGTCTTTCAACCCTTTTCCTGTCGTTGATTGGCGTGGTCTCCACCACTGCCTCTGCGCTTCCTAAACGCCAGACTACACAACCCACCTTCTCCCGCAATGTCATCTTCAGTCCTCCGAGGAATGCTGGCTGGACCGATCCAGGCGTCCTGTATGCCCGCAGTGCACAGCTTGCCGACGGCTCTCTGCTCGCAACTTGGGAGAACTATTCCCCTGAGCCACCAAAAGTCTACTTTCCTATCTTCAAGTCTTCCGATGGCGGCCTCACATGGAGAGAAATCTCGCGCGTTCAGGATACCCAGTATGGCTATGGTCTGCGGTACCAGCCTTTCATCTACGTCTTACCTGAGAGCATTGGCGGCTTCCCGGCCGGAACAGTTCTGGTTTCAGGCTCAGCCATCCCCACGGACCTCTCCAGCACCCACATTGAACTTTACGCATCTCGAGACTCTGGACTGACCTGGACCTTCGTCTCCCATATTGCAGCCGGTGGTGAAGCTCTTCCTAACAACGGCTTGACACCTGTCTGGGAGCCCTTCCTGATGTTGCACAACAAGAAGTTGATCTGCTACTACTCGGACCAGCGCGAAAACGCCACCTACGGCCAGAAGATGGTCCACCAGACCACTACGGACCTCAAGACATGGGGCCCGGTTGTTAACGATGTCGCATACCCCAAGTACACTGACCGCCCAGGCATGCCCACCGTCGCCAAGCTGCCGAACGGACAGTTTATCATGACTTACGAATACGGTGGCGGTCCTGCTATCCCCAACTCCTATCAATTCCCCGTCTACTACAAGATTGTGTCTGATCCCGAAAAGTTTGGTCAAGCCCAAGGCATCAGTCTCAAGGCCACTGACGGCACTATTCCGAGTGGTTCGCCGTACGTAGTGTGGAGTCCGGTCGGTGGCGCAAATGGCACGATTATTGCGAGCGCACACAGCGGTTCTCAGGTCTTCATCAACAGGGGTCTTGGACAGGGCAACTGGATCAAGATCGACACACCTGAGCCCAGCTCTTATACAAGGCACCTTCGCGTACTCCAGGACCCAACCAAGTTGTTACTTATGGGTGGAGGACAGCTGCCACCTAGCACCACAAACTCAATCACCGTTACTGTTGTTGATATCAGCAAGTGGTGATTGTACGGTGTGCTGGGAGGATTCTATGTACATTATTTGTTACAGTCTGAATCTCTACCATAATTGCAGAGCATTGTAGATACTATAAGACTACATACGTAATGATAAGATATAACGGTCATATCATAGCTGATAGTAAATGTGAAACCCTAGTGAGCTTCTAACTCTTGCCTGTGCCTATATTTGTTGAACAACACTTTAAGTATTATTAGGTTTGGGTTTCCCAATGTAGACATTTGTAAGATCTTTTGGGTCTACGAAACAACATGGGCAACCCAACTCCTGCACACTGACTGAACAACTCACGGGAAATACAGTAAGCGACGTGTGACTGCTAAGAACTTTGAACTGAATACTCGGCACAATTGTAATTTCCGAAGGAGCAATAGTGACTGTCTTCTATGATAACACATGTCAACTCCGAATAAGCTGACACGAAAGGCTTCGTTTATTGCAATCTTATCTTGTTTTGTCTCAGGCTATGCTTGCACATGCAGTTCCGTGACATGGACAATGCTCAATCTTTGTTTTACTAGAATCGATATGCGGAGCCAATGACAATGTTGGGACAGGCCTGGAACCTCGGAATAGTTCAGACGATCCGACACATCCCCACCCACCCACTAGCGCCGGGCCGACCATTCTTCCTAAGCGAGACCACCGAAGGCGCAAATTGAGCATCGCGGTAGTCATTGACATTTGCAGCAACCACCGTCAAGCCCGAACGCCTCCTCTCCCCCCAAACCGACAATCTCTTCTCCAATACCGACAAAATGGGTGGTGTTACCGTCAAGGACATTGAGTCTCACACTTTCGTGAAGGCGTACGCCGCTTTCTTGAAGCGTCAGGGAAAGCTCCCCATGTAAGCCTCTTTTCCCAAATCAGTACAGAGAGAGGACCAAAGCGCTAACTTTTTTTCGCAGTCCAGGTTCGTCTCTATCCAGCGGGTGAAGGATGAAAAGCCTGAATCCCGTAAATGGGGGATAAACCTCAGTTCGCTGACTCTTATCTACAGGCTGGGTTGACACTGTCAAGACGAGCCGTACGTATAAATCCGAGATCCTGAGAAACGAAAGAAGAATCTCATTTGGGCAATCGGTCGTCTAACATTGCGCAGACTCCAATGAGCTTCCTCCCCAGGACATTGACTGGTTCTACGTCCGCGCCGCTGCCATTGCCCGCCACATCTACATGGTACGCGAAGCCCTCGCACACACGGATTGAAGAGAGGAAGGACAAAATACTAACGAACTGAATAGCGCAAGACTGTTGGTGTAGGCCGCCTCCGCAAGGTCCACGGATCTACCAAGAACCGCGGCTCCCGCCCTTCCCACCACGTCGACGCCTCTGGCTCCGTTGACCGCAAGGTCATGCAGGCTTTGGAGAAGATTGGTGTTCTCGAGCAGGACGAGGACAAGGGTGGCCGCCGCATCACACAGTCTGGCCAGCGTGATTTGGACCGTATTGCGCAGACCACCCTCGAGGCCGAGGAGGAGGATGACGAGTAGATGTTTCGCACAGGGTTGTGATGCGCGGGCAAAAAAACACGGCTGTTCTAAGCATTTGATTGCGGGGCGGTTACGGATCTACACGGTTTTTACGGCTTATGGCGTTGAAGACATGACTTCGCTGGGCCTGCTTTTAGCCTAGGACAACCAATGACACTGGGCTTGGGCCTGAAAAGCAACATGATACCCCTCACTCTTGTCTGGTGCTCTCTTTCTCTCTTTTTCTCTATTCGATTGGAAGTGACATGATGGTCATGACGACATCTTTGGCATTTGCTCTCATCGCTCAACAGCTGCAACTTTTTTTTCCTTGTCTCTTCATGGTTTGATTCATGCAAGATACGGAAGCTGCATGAACATTTTTAGTGCATGAAATTTCTGCGGGCACAGATACGACCACGACTGACATGGCTTTAGAAAAGGTCAGTCATGGCGCCGTGACTAGCATCGCCCACTAGCCTAGCATACTTGGCCAGCACGCCCCTCGTAACCGGCATGCTAGGTGGCACCCACGCCTTCAGCCGGTTCTCGATCTCCTCATCGCTCACATCCATGTCTATCCTGTTCTTTTCCGCATCAATCGTGATCATGTCGCCATTCTGCACAACCGCAATGGGACCGCCTACAGCCGCCTCGGGGCAGATATGACCTACGATAAAGCCATGGGACGCTCCAGAATACCTGCCGTCTGTGATCAAGGCGACATTGGTCAGCTTGGCACCCATGATGGCAGCGGAAGCTTTGAGTTGTTCCGGCATTCCGGGGCCGCCTTTGGGTCCTTCATAGCGCACTACTACTACAACATTCTCGCCGTGTGGAATCTGGCCTTGGTTGAGCGCGCTATCCAGCTCGTGCTCTTTGTTGAAGACGATAGCTTTGCCGGTGAACTTTAGGCCTTCTTTTCCTGTAATCTTTGCTACTGCCCCAGAGGGTGCGAGGTTACCGCGGAGGATCTCGATGTGGCCAGTGGGTTTGATCGGGTTGCTTAGAGGGCGAATGAGCGTTTGATCTTGGGGCAGAGATGGATATCCTTCGATATTTTCCGCAAGTGTCTTTCCAGTCACGGTGGGAATGGAACCATCAAGCAGCTTTGCGGCGACGAGCAATTTCATAACAGAAGGCATGCCGCCAATCTCAAAAAGATCGGCTGCCATGTAGCGGCCACTGGGAGCCAGATCGGCGAGAAAGGGAATCTTGTTTGAAACACGTTGGAAATCGTCGAGAGTCAAAGGAACACCCGCTGTGCCTGCCATGGCAAGAAGGTGCAAGACAGCATTTGTCGAACCACCCAGCACCATCATCATGACAAGGGCGTTTTCGAAAGATGCCTTTGTGAGGAGTTTGCGGGGTGTGATGTTTTTTTCCATGCACACACGGATGGCAGCAGCCGCTTTGGCGCATTCGCGCATCTTGGCGGGAGAGGTCGCAGGTGTGGTGGACGAGTTGGGTAGAGTAAGGCCCATTGCTGTGATTTATTAGTGCATCGTCATGGCAGATATGGCAAACGAGAGCCTGTTGTACCTTCAATCGATGTGGACATGGTGTTTGCCGTGTACATGCCACCACAAGCGCCTGCACCAGGGCATGCATTTCTCTCAATGTCTTCCATAATCTCATCTGGCGAGAATTTACCATCGCTCGCGCTCTTCAAGTTTTTGTATATGTATGCGCCGTGGCTCTCATAGCATGTAGAGATATTGATGGGCTTCTTGAGTGTCTCTGAGTAGCCCGGCATTATGGAACCACCATAAACCATGAGCGAAGGACGGTTGTGTCTTGCGAAAGCCATGATGACTCCAGGCATATTCTTGTCACAACCCGGAATCGCTATGCAGGCATCGTGGTGCTGAGCACATGTAACGGTCTCAATGCTATCGGCTATTATTTCACGCGTTTGGAGAGAGAAGCGCATTCCTAGTCGAGATCAATTCAAAGTTGGCGGGATACAGAGGAGTCATGGTACCTTCACCACCCATTGTGATGCCATCTGAGACACCGACGGTGTTGTACTGCCACGCAAGCATATTATCGTTCTGAACATGCTTCTTAATCTCTTTTCCCAGGTCCAGCACTGTGGAGTGTCAGTGTGTTATGCGCACGCGATTGACTGCTTCGCCCTGATGGTCTCGCCACGCGTGGGCTAGATCGAGGAACTTACAGTGCATGCTGCGGCATTGTCAGTTTGTGGCTAAGACATTTTTGTGCGCAAGGGTCAAAACGAACTTGCATGGATTGCCTTCCCACCAAACAGATGCTATTCCGACATGAGGCTGTGTCTTCATTGCTTCTCGGGAGGGTACCCCAGCGGCATAGAGCATGGCCTGTTATTTGGACCATGTCAACTACTGATGGAATTCAAAAGGCGGTGCTAGCGAACCTGTGCTCCAGGGAAGTTGTGGCCGGTAGTGAGCGTGGACGAGTACTTGTTGAGTGCTGGTTGGCCATTTTCATTTTTCGCATCGTCTGGAAGATGTGGAAAACTGAGAAAGCGCGGCTCTTCTGGCTCGCGTTGCTTCTGAAGGTTCTTAGGATCCATTTTGAGGCAGCCAAAAAATGGGGTCTATGTGATATACGACAATTGAACGGGTAGACGAAAAAGGAAATCAGGGCGAGAGGGAAGATTGACAGAAGGGAAAAAAGTGTGGTATTGCGGGAACGAGATAGTGATGATAGCTAATCGATACCGCGAGTACCCAGGTACTCCCGGAACAGGGGCGCTTGCACAGTCTAACATGGTTAGGGCTGTCTAAGGTACTCGTACCGACGTATATGTGGGCCATGGTCATGCCTCTATCAGTGTCGTTTGGGGCCCAAACCGTCGTGGAGGGAGGGGTATCGTGGAGCATGACAAGTGCCAGTCCAGGGCCGGAAGGCTACGCGTTGTGTCGTCCATGGACAGTGAGCAGCAGCCAATGCGGTCGGACGAGATGTAGCCGAAGTATGGCGATTGGGTCAGGCAGTATGCCAGCGGACCCGTGGTCGCGCTGGCGTTGGGGTGGTAGCGTGAAAGATTTCCTCCGCGGTATCAAGTCCCGAAGTGCGCCACATCGGACTTGCAGCGTGACCTGGCGCCTGGGCAGTGGGCGCGACATGTGCTGGCCCACTGCCAGAGTGCGGCGCTTTCAACGGCGGAATGCTACCTGTCTTCTGGAAGGCCGGGGCCCGTCACCGCTTTTGCGGCTCGGCTAGCAATGGCATTGACAGGCGCACTTGGGGTAAAGTATATGTAAGAACACTAGCTTAGTGGTGCGTATGTAGAGCAAGTGCGGAGTTTCTGGATGTTTTGCAACGTAGTACCCATGTCGGATCAAAGGTGGGACGTGACCCAGAAGGAATACCGTGTCGGCATCTTCCCTCGTGATCCGCTAGAGTCAATGGGTAAATACAACGCGCGCCTGTGCGAATCGAGGTGGGTCGACCTTCGTACATACTCTCCCTGTTGCTGATCGGGGAGCGAGAAGAAAAACCTGCCAGGACAGATGGCTTGAGGGCGTGGGGGAGGAGCTGTGGTGACGTCACGATGGACCTGGCAAGTGGAGAGAGCGTCGGACGGGAGGAACAGTCTAGTGGGGGTTGATAGGAGGAAGAGGAAGAAGAAGAAGGTGACGATAGAGAAGACAGAGACGGTGAACAGCAAGAGGCCAGCTGCGATAGGGCTGAGGGTGGTGGCGTCCAGTCAGCCCTGCCAAGTTGCACGATGCAAGTGCAAGGCAGAGGCGTCGCTCCCGCATCCGGGCTGCGAGTGGCAGGAGCGCGCGCCCAACCGCCAACGTCATTTCGCCCATTGCTCGCCAGACTCATAGCAACCACCAAAATTCTGCCATCACGGAAACCACCACCACAACACCACGGCTACCACCACCACCGCCCATCAGCAGGTCATCTCCGGTCGCTGCCGGCCCTAAGTAGACACGCCATCTAGCAAGCTCCATCCCAGCCTCGTCATCGCCCGTCCGCGACTCCATCTCGCGTAATTCCTTTTTGGACAGGATGCCCATCCACATCGCACAATTCGCCCAGCTGCTGATGACGAGGCATTGCTAGCCCTGTATTTGTTGTTCGTCAAACGTGCCCGCCTCTCCGCGTACCAAACTTTCCAGGCACCGGCTCGTTCCCGCCAGCAGTTGGGGCACGAGTCCTTCTATCGGATTCCATTGGCTGGCCCCAGATCGCCCGTCACCTTGCTGCACGCCAGCACTCCCACGGCCCGTTGGATATACATCCACCGTCGTTCCACGCCAGAGTCTATGGAGCCTCATTCGCGTCCTTGCACGGCCCAGAATGGCACGTTGCGCCTTCCACAGGCTCTGCTGTCACTCCTGAAGACCACTCTTGCAGGCTCGCCCAGCCATCCAGTGACACAGACCGACTCCCACCTGGTCCCCTGGAACGCCGCGGATATAAACAAGTCTGCCTACCGTTCCCTGAACCTGCTCACTCCCTTCGTACTCCAGCACGGCAATTGGTCTTTGACTCCTGCAGGCATGGTTGAGTTGACAGCGCTGTGTGGAGTCGCATCTGCACTCTGGATACGGAGGAAAAGGGGCGGTAAGATCAGGCCCGGGAGAACTCAACACGCATCCGAGGCCGCAACCGGTACGTTGGCTTTGTGAGATTAACGACCCGTCCATCTTATCACGCGGCCCAACTAATGCACATGTCCAAGTACCAAGCTTACCGCGCTAACGCTTCATAGATGATACCGCCATCACTGACCCAGCACTGATAAAGAAGTACTCTACACTCAAGTCCTACACTGTGCCCTCTACTGGCTTCACTTATCCTCAACTGCGCATCTTTTATCGTCCACATCACCAAGAAAGCAAGCTACCAAAGGACCCCTGCCCGATTCCCCTTCTGGTCTTCATCCATGGCCTTGGCGGATCTATTGCCCAGTTCAGCCCTATCCTTATCAGTCTTTCCAATCTAGCACCATGCTTGGCTATAGACTTCCCTGGATGCGGTGCATCGACTTTTGAGCCAAAAGCATGGGAAGCCTACACGACCGAGGCCCTTGTACATCTTCTTGCAGTCGTTATTGAAGAGCACCGTGCAGCCGACGAAAGACAGCCTGTCGTTGTGGTTGGCCATAGCATGGGCTGCTCTCTGGCCGCCCTACTAGCCTCCCCTACCTCTCCACATGCCCATCTTCTATCGCAATACGTCAGCGGCTTAATTGCTATATGTCCACAAGCCGACCCTCCCACTGAGAAACAAGTCAAACAACTGCAGTACTTCTCGTCAGTGCCACCAGCCCTATTTGACCTGTTTAGGCGCTGGGATCGGAGAGGGGGTATCGCCAGCAAGAGTGTTTTACGCATGACAGGAGCAGATGCAGACGTCGAGACTAGAAGAATGCAGCTGCTTTTCAACAAACAAAGTCGAAGTGCCGTCTGGCAGAGGATGGCACGAGGCATGTGCCCTGATTACTCCGATGGCTCACCAAAGGGCGGCCTTCCCGGAAGACAGGTCTGGAGCGGCCTAAATATGCCAGTATTTCTCACTGCCGGTGAGATGGACGGCGTGACGCCGGCCTCCAATGTTAAACGCGTCGTGGAATTTTTGGGAAGAGATGTTAGTGCCATTGAGCCGCCAAGCGAGAGGGCTAGTCTACCGATTGCGGCTGCGCCATTTGTTCCTGCCTCTATCATATCAGAGGTACCCACGAAAGAGCACAAAGACTCTGGTATTGATGCCAAGGACCTACCACGATGCGAAGAAGATAACAAGACGATTGAATCAACTTCTGTATCCACTGCTAACGGCAGTCTTGTCTCCACAGAGGATGGTACCAGAGAGGGAAGTATGACCACTGCCGACGGTTCGCTTCTCTCGGGAACTTCGACGTCGTCGTCAACCACGCCGTCACCTCACCCACGCAAGCTTGTTGTTAAGACCGCAATCATGCCCAAACCAGCAGCTCACTCTCTGCTCTTTGCTCCGTCTACCTCGCGTATCATAGCCGGGCTTATAGGTACTTTCTTTGCTGACTACATCGACCCTCGTCTATCATTAGCTTGGCAACTTAGTTACCTGTCGACCGAAGGCAAATGGGACGTCAAGAATCTTGAGAAGTGGAAGGCAGTGCAACCGGTGTCTGCACCCGTTGGCAACGTCTTCCGGGCGATGAAAACGCTTCGAGAAGTCGACGAGGAGCATACGCCCAAGGTGCTTACGAAGAAGTGGGCTGGAAAGCTCTGCGCCGTTGTCGACATCTCGCACGACAATCCCGTCTATGACCCTAAGGGCTTGGAAGAGGGCGGCATCCCGTACTACAAGTTCCCGACGGTGTCGAAGCAGCCTCCGCAAGCGGCCGAGGTCAAGGAGTTTTTTGATCTCGTCGACAGGATCCGAGCGGAACAGCGGCCCGGTCTGATTGGCGTCCATTGCCACTACGGCTTCAACCGCACTGGCTTCTTCTTGGTGTCATATCTGATTGAGCGTCTGGGATACAAGGTCGAAGATGCACTCGATGCGTTCCAGCAAGCGCGCCCGCCAGGTATTAGGCACTCGCATTTTATCGATGCCTTGTATGTTCGCTACTGCCAGGGCCTCAAGAGAGCACCAACACTGTGAACGAAAGTCTGTCATATGATGTGTTCGTTGCAGTTTTTTTTTCTTTTTTTTCACCGGCTTTTTTTTGTCCTCTTCTTTCCTTCTTATTGTGCATTCTTGTTAGCGTTTGGGGTTAGGTGGGGGCAAGCTACTGTTGTGTGAGTATAACCATTCTCACAGAGTCCCTTTTTGTAATTGGTATTTGGTCGGGTAAAGCGCGAGCGTTTTGGAGTATTTTCTTATTCTTTTCTTTGTTTGTTCTTGATTGAACACTTTGCGTTTTCTTTTTGGTTTTGGTTTTGGTTTTGGTCGGTTTGAGGGTATCGGTTTTTCGGTATTCGTGTTATCAGGAAACATACACATATATACACACATAGAGAGATTCAGGACTGTTATAATCGTCATAATTATCATTACACACATTGAGATTCGAGTCTTGTATGGTATCTCTTTTGCCATGAAATCGTCATTGCATGGCTTCTTTTATTTACCTCTCAGTATCTTGCTTATATGTACACATGGCATATGGAGCTAACAACTCCTATATCCGTTTATTTAACGTGTAAAGAAGGAGTAGAAAATACACATCTTGCCCACACTGTCATTTGCAAGAGAGATAGAGAGAGAGAACGCGAAGAAAAGCAAGTGGACCAACGTTGGAAACAAATCTTGTGTTTTTTTTAAAAAATAAATTCTTCTCTTTCTCTTTCTCTTTCTCTCTCTTTTTTCAAACCACTTTCGTGTGTATGAGGGAGAACAACAATACCTTTTTTTTTTCCAACGGTTTTGCCTAACTTAACATGTCTTGTTTTTTCCTTCTCTTCCCTCTCTCTTTTTTGTTCTTTCTTAAATTCGCCCCCCCCCCCCCCCCCTTTTTTTCGGAGAAGGGGGGGCGGCGGTGGAAAGAGAAAAAAAACCCCGATTCCCTTCCTTCGCCGTTTCCGTTTCCGTTTCGGAATGTTTTTGCTTTGCCCGCAGAAAAGAAAGAAAGAAAGGAGGGGAGGGAGGGAGGGAGAGAGAGAGGGGGATTTAAGTTGGTGCCCATAGTCTGGTGCGGGGTTTCATTTACTTTGACGGGGGCTCATGTCGTGAGATGGGTGTGGTAAAAGAGAGAGAGATAGAGAGAAGGCGCATTAGACGGGAAAGAGAGAAAAAAAGGTGGGGGGTGTGTGTGTGTGGCAAGGTGAAGATGCAATGAATAGAACAAGAGTACAACTACATTGAGAAACGGGTGAATGTGTTCTTTCTTTCCCTTTCTGATGAACATGATGACGATGATGGTAATGATAAAGATGATAAGTGATAATGAGGATGGAACGAGAGAACAAGAAAAGAAGAAGAGAAGAAGAAAAAAAGTTAAGAAAGAGAACACTGATAATCTTCCTCCACATCATCGTTCATCATTCAAAAAGGTTTTTTTCCCTTTGCCAGATCATGATATATAAGCTTTTTGATCCTAGCCGTCGTGAAAAAAAATCCCCTCCCTCTACCATCACACCGGTTTTTTTTACCTTCCCCCCTCCTTTTCCTCTCTTCCATGGTTATAAAAAAACATAGCTTTAACAAGCTTCGTACATGGCCCCCCCGCTATGAAGTTTAGTCTGGACTCGGGAACTTTCCACCGCAGCGCCTCGCAATGCATTCGTGTCAATGTGGCTAGAAATAAGACAAGGGGTCGAAGCGAATGTGTTGAAAAAAAACAAAAAATAAAGCGGGTTTGAATGCTCGCGTACTGCGTAGGCCTTCTTGGTGAGTCAGAGTTGCTACAATTTCTCGGTCCTGGCGTTTTTGGGCTGATGGCACAGCCGTATATGGAGGGATGGATGGCAGTCCCCCAGTGGTTGTGAGGTGGGTTGGAATGTTGGAATCCCTTGCTCGGATGTCTGTACGCTTACCCTCATAGTAATGGGAGCAAGCTGTCATGTCGAAGTCACAACCTCTGTTCTTGAGACTGCGGTTCCGGGGTTGTCTCTACACCCTCCATAGCGCCACCCTCTTTGTTTCGTGGAAAGACAGTGCCCTCGGTAGTAGTGGGTGTTCCAAGCCTTTCGGTGGGGTACTTTTCAAGGTCCTTGTGGCTAGTTGAGAAGGTCGATATGACCGGAGTATAGTTCTGAGGATGATCAGCCTGTGTGGGCGTCTTGGCTTCTGGCCCAGCAGAAACAGGGCTCAGCAGACTTTCTGGTCCGTGCTTGCCTTCGGGAAGTTGTAATTCGGTTTGCGAATGGATGGCACCTACTAGGCCGTTCCAGCCTCCTTCGATGTCGCGGAGCAGGCGCACGTACTCCTCAGGTACTAGACCGCTCTCCCCGGTCTTTGGGTCTTGGGCTACCAGCCAGCCTTGGCCATGTCTGTATGATACCAGGATGACCTGGCCTTCTACCAACGGTAGTTCGTTGTCATTTTCGCGGGCAAAGTCGAATAAGGCAACAGCCTTGCCGTGCATCTCTTCATCGGGCGAAGCAATGGTAAACTGGTAGTCGCGTGAGAAGCGGCTGTCGTCGTATATGTAGTCTTCAGGCTCGGACATGTCGTCATCTGAATCATACGGTGGACCTTGTTGAAGGGCTGTGTCGGCGTCGGCATATGCGCGTGGTGGCAGGGTAGTCGCAAAGTGGGAATCACGTCGTGACGCACCTTCGGGTACGCCGAGTCGGGATGACTCTGGCGGATATGTAATGTACTCGCTGCTGGAACCATTAGCAGTATCGTCGTTGGCGAATTGGCTGCTGTCGCCATTGAGGGGCAGAATGGAGCTACGCCGTTGTTCTTCCGGGTATCCTCTGCGCCCGCGTGTGTGATCAAAGTTGACAATGTTGGACTTGTGCTTCTTGTGTCGTGCGCCGTGGTGGCTAGTGACTACGGGGCTGGAGATGTCCTCGTCCTCGCTGTATGGTGGGCCTCCGTCATACGAGGTCTGGGGGAGTTGTTCGCCTTCTTTCTCATCCCACGACCCCGCCGACCAGCCGCTTCGTTCGTTGCGCCATGCTACCGGGGGTGGGTCCGAAAGTCTCCGGCTATGCTCGCTTGCGGGGGTGGATATGTCGGATGGCTGTTCTGGGAGGGGACCATAGAAGAGAGGATGGAGCGGGTCGTAAGCAAAGTCGCGGACCAGTGAGTAGGGCAGGCTCGAGTGGAAGATGGGAAAGGCGGTTGATTGCGGCCGTGAGCGTACCGACTGGTGGGTGTTTGATGTGTTTGAGATGTTTGAGAAGGTGGAGAGGCGCTTGTTGAGGTAGGAACTGGCGCGCTCCAGCTTGGCCTTGGAGGGCGGGGAGGTGACGAGTGGGGGCAGTGAGGTGCGGTTGACGCCTGTTTGCGCAGCATTCGGGTCGCTACGTGGGGATAGGACATCGGCGGCCATGATTTGGTCAGGCTGGTGTGCGCGCACTGCAGCCGGTTCCGTGGGTTCGTCGAGCCGTTGGGTGTAGACGGGCGTGTCTGGAGCGGTGCCGGTGTCGGTCATGCGCAACAGATTTGGAGGGGTGTGTGTGTGAGTCGAGACTGAATCGTCAGCGGTGGTCTATATGGTGTGCTGGAAGGGCAGCAGAAGGCAGTGTAGTGGGCAGTGCGGGCTGCAAGGCGGCGGCGGCGCACCAGACGGATAAAGTTGGCGTAATGGGGAATGAGCAGACGAGAGCAGCGGCGCAATTGGCGCTGGGCGGGCCAGGGAGCGAGGCGCACAAGCAGGGCTGGAGCGAGCCAAAGATGAGGGCTCTCTGAGGCTGGGCCGGGAGCGGTTCTGGGAGATGGGCGGCGCAAGTGGAACCCAATGGGCGTGTGGGTGGAAGAAGGCGGGCGTGGCGACTGGGGGCAGGGTCCGTGTGGGAGAAGAATGTTTGGGCAGTGAGGCGGCTGGAGAGGGAGTGGGTGGATGGGATTGTGGGGGTGCAGGCACAGGACTGGCGCTAGGGCTTGGCAGTGAAGGATGCAACAGTTGCGCGCCTGACGGATAATGTCGAGGCTTCGGGAGTGTCTCGGCAGGGAGCGAGGGCACAGCGTCGAGCGCAGTCAGTGGAGCGGCGCGTGGTGGACGAAGGCGGGTTGAGGATGGATGCTCTATTTTTGGGGCGGGCTGGCGGGGGACATGCTAGACGCCGGTTCTGTGTTTCAGAATCAGTCCAAGGCGCTGCGGGCGTGCAGAGCCATGTGGTGGTGGTCGTCGTGGTCGTCGTGGTCGTCGTGGCCGTGGTGGTGGTGAGCAGAGGCGCAATGGCTCATGCCATGGAGGAGGAATAGTCGCCAGTGGTAGTCGGGAGGGCAGACTACGGGCTAGCATGGACGAGGGGCTGTGTCTGTGTGCGTGCGTGCGTGTGAGTTGTTGCGTGTGTTCAGCCTTGGAGTGCAAACCGCTCCGGCTTAGCCCTGTTGGCCTCTAGATTGTTTCAGGCGCGGGCGGGCTAGCTGCTTGCAGACGACCCACGCCGACTGTGCTTGGACGGCAGCGAGGAACCTCCCTGGCCAGCCCTTCACCGTATGCCGTCACCCTCCATGGCCCTCGCAAACCCATCGCCTGTCTTGCCTGCCCTGTGTTGCTGAATTCCCTCCATGTCCCTGTTTTGGCACGCTGTCTGACAGGCAGGCCGAGCCGCGCCGTGTCCTGATCTCACCACGCCCAACAAGCCCGCCCGGCCGAGAGCGACAGCGTCCAGGAACAGGAAGCGAGGCCCATGTGCATAGCACCGCGCCGCGCCCACGGCATACTTACTTGCTCGGCTGCCGTGGTATTGCGACTTGCATGTGTGTGCCTAGATAGTGCTAGCAGTAGCCATGGCCACAGTAGTGTAGCAGCAACATTAGACAGTAGCAGCCCCTCCACTGCGCCGTTTGGGGGTGCGTGACGCTTGGTACTCGGCCTGCCCCGCCTGCGCGTAGCCTGCAGCACGGCCCGCTTAGTCAGCCCCGCTACTGTCCCCCACTAGCACTCGACCTGCTGAGCTCGACAAAGCTTGCTCCTCCACTGGCTTCGTGCCTTTCACAAGCAAACATCCAACACCCACACCCCATCCACCCCCTTTGTCCTCGACCCCATCCTCCTCGTCTCGGGGGCTATGACTGCGACCGCCACTCCTCTACACTGTACGTCTCCATTCCCCCCTCTGCGCCCGCCCCTTCCCGCTGCCCGCCCTGCCTGTGAGATGATGAACACATATTGGAGCTGTCCTAGGCACTAGCCTTTGAGGACTCTCAATAATAATATACACTGAAAATTCTGAACCTCGCGTGATCACTGCCACTGCTGCTGCATACAAACACGCAGAACCCCAACTGACTTTGGTGAAGAATTTGCAGAGCTGCGCCCAAAGACGCGAAAGAGAAAAAATGTCGGCCGACCCACGACTGCGCGCGAGGCAGCAACAGCAGCAGCAACAGCAGGCGACGCCTGCAGCTGTGCCTCCACCTCCTCCGCCCCCGCCCGCCGAACCTCAGCCTGTGGGCATGGACGGTGCCGGTGACGCCCAGCCAGACCAGAATGTAGTCCCCGACAACAGTTTCAAGCTAAAGTTTTGCACCGTGTGTGCTAGTAACCAGAATCGGTATGTGCATGCATTGCTCTTCCCACACCTTGACCCTAACTCGGCCAGCTCCATGGAAGCTCATCTCCAACTGGCATCGGCCCATCTCCCAACTATCAGCTTCGGCACCGGCTCTCTCGTGCGTCTGCCCGGGCCGACAATCACCCAGCCCAATGTGTATCACTTTAATAGTACAACCTACCGTGCCATCCATGATGAGCTTGCCGAGCAAAACGCCGCTTTGTACACAAACAACGGCCTGCTCAACATGTTGGGTCGTAATTTAAACATCAAGGGTTACCCTGAGCGCTTCCAGGACTGGGTACCTGGCAAGCCTCGCCTTGACCATGCCGAGGACAAGGGCTCCCAAGGTACTGAGGCTGGAGTCGTTGACGTCGTCATCACCTGTGAAGAACGTTGTTTTGATGCTGTGCTCGAGGATCTACATAACAAGGGCGGAAAGCTCAACCGCCCCGTTCATGTCTTTAATGTCGACATCAAGGACAACCATGAGGAGGCCCTTGTTGGCGGCAAAGCTATTCTAGACCTTGCTCTCAGCCTGAATGAAGCGGCTGCAAAAGAGCGAGAGATACATGGTGACAGCGGATGGCAGTCTGGTAGCGGTGCTGCTCGTTCTGGCTTTGACGAGCGTGTGCCCGACATTCTCGCTACATGGCAAGAGCGCTGGCCAAACATGCCCGCCCTCTGGAGTCTTGCATGGTTTTGATTTCCAACTCTTATGGCGTTTTGTCTTTTGTTTTCTTGCCGGCTAGACAGCCTTTGATACCCATTTGCATAGCGAGGCGTTCGGGGTATCACATTGACCAGTCGACGATCATATGACCATGGGATACACTACTACTCTGAATAAAACACTTAGTTTTACGCATATACCGCTACCATTGGTCCACACATCAACCATTCCCGTCATGATCGTGCGATTGCCAAGTGACACATGACCGCCTTGATACGACGACTATATTCAATGCACGTCTCTTCATACCGTTGTGGCTTGGTCGCACGGCCTGCAACTAGCCACGTGTGCGTGCAAACACCGCCTTCCATGAACATGTTCTACTCGCCGGTAAAAGAAGCAAATCCAACGCCAAACACCTTTCAACGCTGCGACTAACCCTGAAACTTTGTACATCTACTCGCCTCTTTTTTTTGTTCTCTTTGACAGCCATCACCCACAACCATGGAGCATCAACTCTCCATAAGCATGTTGATCGCAATGCTACTCCTACCACTCTCCTTTATCTCCGCCTCCATCGCAGACACCTCCAAAACACCGCAAAAGAAAGCATGTGGTTGGGAACTCATGCAGAACCTCAGTGCGTCACCCCCGCCCGCAATCTCCTCACAACATCACTCGCGCGCCCTCCCCCCAACCAAACCAAACAACCAAACCTCACTACTATTCCTGCTACTACTATCAAACCTAGCTATTTCTCTAACCCTTCCCCCCCCCCGCATAGACATCTCCATAGCTAGTCTGGGCACCTTGTACGCGAAACAGACGGGCGACCGCTCCCTGTGCACCCGCCAGGATGATGGCTCAGAGTACTGCACTTGCATTTATGAGTGCGGTAATGGTGTTTGGAGCTATCATCATGACCAAAGTACTACTACTTCAACTACCACTCATGTCAGCGATTGGACTTGGGAACGAGGTTGCGGAAAATATTGTCATGCCGGCGTGTGTGATGGTCAGGTCTAAAAGTACCTTGGATTACTAGTTATACTATATTTACCACGTTTTCCAATCATTTCTCTTTTTGCGGCGGTGATATAGTATACCATCAAGTCATGTTCCTTTCCATCTCCTTTTTTCTTCTGTGCTTTGGAGTATTATTCATCATTGTGGAGCTGTATAGGCAAGGCGTTGTTGAATTATTAATAAAATAATACTTGTTATTACTATCACAAACATTAGTACTTTCACCGCTATCACTATCCTTGCAACTACAGTCCTGGGGGAAACTCATACCAGACCCACAACAACGGAAAGAATCCTAATTAGGCAAAAACAAAAGAAGATGCCTGTTCAACATCCAAAAAAGAACGACGTTGGCCAGATTCGAACTGACGCTCCCGAAGGAACAAGATTTCTAGTCTTGCGCGATAACCACTCCGCCACAACGCCTTTGGTTATTCGATGACGTAAGCTAAAATCACGATAAATATGACGACAATTCAAAATTTAGAACAGGGAGAAAGATTAGATTATTCACATACCCACTCTTCCCATAGCAAACAACCCATCTTACCTTTACTTTATTTGAATTGACGGAGACTATATCAATATTTTTTTTGCCGCTGATACAACATATTTTTAGCGTTAGGCCTTCCATCTCAACGTTATCTGACGTGTGTACCGAAGAGGCTTTGTCTTCGGCCCTTCCGGTCACCGCCCACCATGGCCCCTGCACAGCCACATCGACAGCTAAACCTTATACCATGTGCATGTAAACTATCCTACAGCCTTGCAACGGCTTCCACAGTCTATCTCTAGGTGAACATCTCCCAGTTGTTTGTTAACATCCCCATTATCTTTCTTCAAAGTATACAAAGGCTCGGGCTCGAGCTCGAGAGCTATCAGCATGGTGTATCGCGGCCGGCCTTCTACTGGATGCAAAAAATGTCGTGAGCGTAGAATTAAAGTGCGTACTAGGCCATGAGCTCGGTCCATCTCGACTACAAGACACTTACCCAAATGAAACCACAGTGTGATGAACGCCCCGGTGGCTGCGTCAAATGCTCCGATCGCCATCTCCAATGCCCAGGATACGATCGCAACATTGACAACTTCTTCCACGATGAAACAGCAAATGTTCAAGCAAAGGCAAAAAAGGCAAAGGCAAAAGCTATCGCGACTCGTGATGCTCAAGATGAAATCGATGCACGTAACCTACGCGAAGCTTACCTACACATAATATCCCAACAATCGCCTACGCCGGCCGTAACAGCATCACTCATTGATCAAGGAATTTCCTTCTTCATGTCCTACTATGCGCTTGGCGTTGACCAGCCGCCTATACAGTCCATTGAGTACTCGAAACATCTGTCGACGCATGGTTTCCATCCATTGGTCTCCACATCCATGACAGCTCTGGGCATCGCTGGAATAGCAAACCTGTACATGGATTCTCGCCTAAAGCGTGAAGCTACTCGCTGGTATTTGGATGCCATCAAGATGACCAATGCTGCCATATCGTCCCCTACAGATGTCACGGCCGATAGCACCCTCGCATCTATCAATCTCTTGGGCATGGTTGAAGCGACTTCCAATGAAAATAGCTTGCAAGGGTGGAGCAACCATGTTGAAGGCGCAGCCTCTCTCATCAAGTTGCGAGGCATGGACCAGTTTTCAACCCCAGCTGGTCAGCGCATGTACCTCCATACTGTTGGGCTTTTTACCATGAACTGCATGGGAAAAAGCATGCCTATCCCCAAATTTGTTCACGACCTCAACACCGAAATCATAAAGCATTTGGACGCCAAAGACCCTAGAAACCGCTTCTTCTTTCTCCATATCAAAACCAGTGACCTTCGAGCACGCATTTTGAACCAGCAAACCCGCTCGCTACCCGAGATTATAGAGTCAGCGCTTGAGCTCGATAACATCGCAGCCAATATCTTCAAAGACTCAGGCCCAGAATGGGACTACGACATTGTCCTATGCGAGAAACGACCAGAAGTCTTCGACCACTTCTACCATGTCTACTTCACAGCAATAGCCGCTCAGACCTGGAACTGGGTGCGCTACAACAGAATATATTTTCACGACATTATCCGAAATTGCATCCTGGCAGGCTTCGCGTCTACACCACCAGCCCTTGTCGGAACAAAGTACCACGAACAACTGGAAACGAGCGTCCGTACCTTGTATAGTTTACAATCGGATATCTTAGCTGGCATTCCACAATTCCTACACGATGTACCTGGCGAAGTACCAAGCGATGCGTCAGATTGCACTAGTAGCAACCATTCAACTCCAGTGTCTGTCGGGGATGAACTCAGCGCGTCGCCAGCAACCGCCGCTTCTCCCAAAACACCACCAAACACACCTGCAGAGGTCCAGACTGCTCTAAAGACTCTTGATCAAAACTTCAAAGGCATGCCATCAGGCGTTGTCAAAGCCCTCATCGGCACCGGCTCAATCAAAGACAAACTCCCCATTGTCCGTGTAGCAGGCGGCTATTCAACCGTCTGGGCCCTCTTCGTGGTGCGTTATTCTCCCTCTCTCTCTCTCTCTTACTCTATTCGCATTACCCAAACTAAAGTCCTCACCAACCTTTTTTTTCTTTACTCTTTCTAACCTTCCACCACACAGGCTGGCGCCATGCCCATCGCATCCCCCGAGAGCCAAGACTTTGTAGCAAATTGCATGGTGCGCGTGCAAAAGGAATTCGGCATCAATCAAGCACAGGTTCTGGGTAAAGCATTGAAGTATAAGAGATACCTGGCTGCAAAGGGCGCCATTCCGTTTAGCATTTGTCCGCAGTATTTGCCCCCGGATTCGACGCCGTTTGTGCGGCCTAAGCAGAGTGTATGATAGTAGTAAGGAGTAAAGCAAAAAAAAAAAGTACGTCACAGTTTATTGTGCGGAAATCGAAGTTGCAGGCTCTGCCAGGTAGTCCGTACAGATTGCCGAAATGAATTGGGTGGTCAAAGTTTTTTTTTAAAAAAAAAAATGGCGAGCGGCATCATAACGGGTACACCCCTGTTCGATATTTGAACTTAAAATTCACCTCACACTTCCCGCACCTAATATCACGGCCTATTCTTTCTTTCTTTCTTTCTTTCTTTCTTTTTCCAATCGATCATTCCTTCATTTTTCACGTAAGGAAAAAAATGGGTTACAAGATGTTGATGTGAATCGATAGAGGGGAAAAGTGGGGAAAAGGGGGTGTTTATGCACGCCTGATTTTTTACTCCTTGACTTGGGGGGGGGGCGGGGGGAGGCGGAAATTAGGGGCACTAACTGCGTGTGACGTAGCAGTAAAAGAGCAAGTTTTTTTTTCTCTTATGGTTATAATCCCGATTGGGAGGGACTCTGCCATGCCCTGCTTTTGTGAACTTGGACCTTGAGAAAGGGGGCAACGGGAAAGGAAAGTCCGAGCATGGACGTGTTGAGCTTCGACTATTTTCAACTCAGCGAGGCAACCCAACTGTCCAATATGACTCGTTTGCATGCGCCGACTGGCTAGACCCATTTCTCGATCTTCGATCTGTCGTTACGCCTGCCTGGCCCGGTTTTGTCCGCTCCTTGCCACAGCGTTGGGGGTGTTTTCTCTGCGGACGATTCCAAGACTTTGGACGCATGTTTATGTCAACGGGGCGCAAGCGAAGGGGGCATCCATGTCCTGGTTTACGTCCGTATATCTCAACATGACAGAATGGTGTGAAGAAAGAAGATTTGTTGGTGGAAATGCTGGGTGAGAATACTCCTCTTGATTCTCGAGGCCGTTTGAGGCAATCAAGTCAACTTCAACATGGCACATGGAAAGATTTGTACGCTATAAATATGTAGGCTTTGAGATGAAAAGGTCTCTTGGCAGCGTCGTACGTACAGCATGATGTGGGAAATAAACGTGTGGCAGGTTTGCCGGGGAAATATCATGGAGATGGTAGTGCGACCAGTGAGATGGCCTTCGCGATTGTGCACAGATAACATGTTTAAATTAACTGCTTACCGGACGTTGTACCCCTCTTTGGATTGGAAAGGTCCGATCCATTTTCGATATTTACATACTTATGAGCCAAGAAACTGGAGGCTGTGACGCTGCCTACCAAGGCGTCCAAGTAATTCCGCCAACGACACAAGGCAGACTCAGAAACATCTGCTGCGCAGCCCCCCCCTATACTGGGGAGACTTCCTAGTACTCACTGTCCTTCACATTTTTGATGGTTTGCATGACGAATCTCAACGAAAACCTGGTTAACGGTTTGCCTACTGCTCTTGATTAGCCATTGTCAGGGAGTTTCTTGGCAAGGCGGGTTCCATTGTTCCAATGCCCACAGTTTTCGGGTAGCTGCATGCGTCCACGGAACGGACGAGCATGTCCGTGAGCCGGGTTAGATACAGGGTACATTGGAACCCAAGAATGTGGAACCTTGATGATAGAACGCAAGATCCCCGATGAAATGAGGATACACGTACTTATTCTGAATCTCAGTAGCCGAAAGAAGAAGCATGTGCTTCCAGAATGTTTCCAGTATTGACAGCGGCTTGGGAAACTCTGGGATCATTTTGACATGATGTCACGTGACGTTCTGCAACAGGAAGCGCACGGGTCTCACATGACCTATGTGGCTGCGCGAGAACTCGAAACAGCCACCTCCTTGACAGTCAACTGCCGCAAAATCTGCTCAGTCAGGCACCTTAACTACCAGTTCCATCGACAGATCACGCTGCTCAAATACATCCAAGTATCATTGCAGTGTTCAATTCATTTAGCATTCTTCGGTCCTTCTGAATAACTCTTCCATGCCACGCGACCCCACGTGTCGACACACCGCAACGTCCTGACATTGAGAAACAATAGCTACTGCGGACGAAACGCCATAAGCCCGTAGGTGGAAACAGATTTTCCTATGTGAATCCAGCCACCAATCTATAATTCCATGGCATTGTGGGATTGCGCCAAACACAACACAAGAATGTGGACCTATCGGAAAATACTAGTACGACGTACGTACTCCAGAATTCGAAGTCAAATTAGTCATTCAGATACAGCGCACCGCACGTCCTTGGAAGAAGCTTCACTAGTCGCATAAAGGCGTAGATGAGATGCTGCAGGATCGATAGAGCAGAACAAGGTGTAGAAGCCCCATTTTCTACCCCCCACCCGTAATACGAGGTCCGCTATGCCAAGATACACTGCGTAGTTTTGAGCTTAAATGAACTTGGTGCCGACGGGGCGCTAACATAGGGAGGGAGTGAGGGAGCAGCAGCGGAACAATCTTCACTTGATCAAGTGTGCATTCTAGCGTGACCACCTGTCCCGTGTCCTGAGTCGCGAACGACTTGCAATTCAACCGTGAGGAGGTGGCGGAAAATTGCTTAACTGGCCAGGCGTTCTATCTGGAGAGCGGAAATTGTTGCGCGCCTTGGCGTCCCAGATGAACGGGATTGATGTGGATCAGTTTACGGTTTCAGTACACAGCTTGGCATCTTTCCACGGGCTAGCGTCGGCGCGGCAGTCTGTTTCTAGCCCCAATCGACTTGACCTGCCATGATGCCCTACATTCCACGAAACAAGTGCCATCTGGGAGGCGCGGCGTCCAATCAACGCACCTCCTCAGGCTCTTTGATTCAGACGCATGATGCGCTGCGCTTTGGTCACGATCCCCACTGGGGAGACATTCCACCGTCTGTTCCTGGAACGCCCTCGGAGCAATTGCTGGAGAGCGGGAGCACAATGAAACGAGTATAAGTGCAACAAACACCCCACGGAGAGGAGAGCATCCAACTTCGAATCCATTCAGTCCTTTACTTGCTTGACGCATACCACACTCTCTTCCTCTTCGACTCGTTTCTATTTGTGCTATATACCACTTCTGCCAAAGCATCCCAAATCAACAAACTCTCCATCAAAATGAAGTTCTCTATCGCCGTCATTGCCGCTGCCTCTGGCCTCGTCGCCGCTGGCCCTGCCGCCCCCACCCCTAACGATGCCTTCTCCCTTGCCAAGCGCGCCTCTCTTCCCATCCCCGCCTCCAAGGGATCCGTCACCCTTAAGGCTCCTCAGACCGTCAGTGGCACCTTCGATGGTGGCATGAAGACCTACGGCCGTGGTGTCAGCTGCACTGGTCAGGTTGAGGGTGGCGACAAGGACGCCGTCTTCATCGTCAAGAACGGCGGTACTCTCAAGAACGCCATCATTGGAAAGGACCAGATCGAGGGTGTCCACTGCGAGGGTTCCTGCACCATCGAGGTAAGATATCTGTCTATTCCGTGCAAGAATAATTAGCTAATTTCAACTAGAACGTCTGGTGGGTCGACGTTTGCGAGGATGCTCTCAGTCTCAAGGGTGACGGTAACGCCATGGTCAAGGGTGGAGGTGCCCAGGCTGCCGCTGACAAGGTCGTCCAACACAACGGAAAGGGTACGGTTACCATTGACGGCTTCAGTAAGTTCTCCCTTGTCTCCGCATCACCGAGAATCCCAAAATACTAACTACTTCCAGCCGTCGTTGACTTCGGCAAGCTCTACCGTGCTTGCGGTAACTGCAAGAACAGCGTCGCCCGCAACGTTGTCGTCAAGAACGTCAAGGCCTACAGCGGAAAGGTCCTGACTGGCATCAACCCCAACTTCGGTGACAGCTCCACCATCACCAACACCTGCGCTACCTCTGTCAAGACCATCTGCGAGGAGTTCAAGGGTACCACACCCGGAAATGAGCCTTCCTCCGTCTCCAAGGGTCCTTCCGCCAACTGCAAGTACACCGCTTCCGCCATCAAGGCTTGCTAGACGCTTCACACCCGCAGTCGGTAGTTAGGGTAGAAGTGATCTTGGAGAGTCTGAGACGGTGACCTGGACTTTTGATTTTGGATTCTTAGTGTATATACTACTTCTTTCTCAGCACATATTAATACATGCCGTGCATGTTTTCTTCAAACGTCAATGATACCAACTCGCTTCGTTTGTTTGCTGACGTCACCATGTACTTGCATGTTTGAACATGCTACGAACAGCTGATGTTCTACTAGCTCGTCAGGCTTATATTACTATAACGCGCGTCTCAACAAGGTTCGGATAGAATTTAGCTCGCGTAGCGGACGGAGGAATGCTCACCTAAGACAAGTCTTGGGTGAGTCTTGGCAGCTTAATTTATTAGCCTCGCTAGCACCCCACAGGGTCTTTTTTCACGCCGTTCGATTAATCCATCTCGCGCACATTTGTCGTAACGTGGCTGGCTCTGGGATCTCGGACAACCCTTATTTTTCTCTCGTCGGCTAAACATTTACAATACACACTCTCTTTAGTTCCGATCACTATGCGCCTTTACCACCGTATTGTTATTTCAAGGAAAAAAAAAGACCGCGAGCGTACAGATTCGGTCGGAATTATTCCGACCACTCGGACGGAACAATCTGCCCGGTGTTTTGGTAAAGGTTAGTTCCGCGTATAGCGGGACCCTGATCAGCGAGTCAAACAAGCAATGCTTGGATGTCTTTATTTTGGAAGGCGGTAGAAGGCTACCGAATATGAATACGAATAGTACGCATGTAGGGAAGCGCTTGGCGTACAAATACGTACGTTGCGAGGGTCTGGGAACCCGAATTGCCATGGAGGATGGACTAATGCAGAAACGCTTTTCCGCTTGTGCTTCGAATGTGTGCGCTTTGTAGGACATGTTTGGATGTGTGATGACTAAATCGGAATTGAAGTGTCTTTGAACTATACTCTGTATTCTCTATACCAGATGCAAATACCGACCAAGAATCGATACGCCAGAACAGGTTCTATGCTTTTGGGAGATAACGCGTCTAACATCTTCGCATGATCTTTTGAGTGGCGCGGCTATCCCATCTATACCTGCTAGTGAG